CGCACGGAGGCGGGCTGCTGGAATGAGGGGACACTGGGTCCGCTAAGGTGACGGAGGAGAGTGCTTGCAGGCCACGTGCTGTGGACACGGTCAGCGTGGCTCTCAGGAGACCGAGGCCGAGCAGTGGACCTTTAGGGCTGAAACAGGCACGTGGGGAACCGCCTGACATGGTGTTTGGAGGACACTTACTGTCAGCCTTCGTAACAGCCGCCAGGCTTGGCGAGTCCTGTTCTAGGTGCAGCCTTTTAACGGACCTCGCCCCTCCCCTCCCCTTTGTTCTCCTGTGACCCGCCCCCCAAAGTCACATGCGCCTCGTCTTCTCCACTCCAGGGAGCAGCACTGCCGCCGAGCGTTACACACACAAGCTGCAGATTTAAAAGCCGCACAGGGAGCGACCACGGAGCTGCCGGAGGCGCGGGGCCCGGAGGAACATCTGCAGGCAGCTTGTCGGGCTGCCCCGCGAACGCTACCAGGCCCAGGCAGCCTGGGTGGTGCCGGTTTGAGGGGCCCCAGGCGAGGGGACTGGGACCCTGAGGCACTTTCGAGTCCGTCACCATCCTGCCCACCGACGCCGGCTCCGCACAGGCCTGTGGTCCAGACCAGGGGCCCAGACACGGTTCCCAGGACCCTCTCCCCAAACCTGGACACAGGCTTCTCCGCGGTCCAGCGACCGTCCGTCACACAGGGAACCGAGCATGACGGGGGCCGCCACACCCGATAGCTTATCAGTAACTTCCGGAACGCTAAATCCTACGGTTAAAAAAGAGCACGTCTCTTCGAATTCAGGAACCAGAATCGAAGCCTTCGAATAAATACGTGGCTGCTTGTAAAGCCCCTACCCTTTGGTTACCTCTAGAAACACAGGATTACGAACGTTAAAAAGTGCGATTAGCTTTCCCAGTTACAAAGGAGCCAGCAGTCCGCGAGGGACCGCAGGCAGCCCGCTGCTGTGAGGTCGGGGTGTTCAGTGGGAGTCCGAGGGCGCTGTCAGGACATCTGATGGACTCACGCCCCGCCGCCTCTCGGGGCCTCAGTACATGTCGCGGTAGATCTCCTGCAGCAGCGGGTGCAGCGCGGCGTCCGCCTCGGTCCTCTTGATGACCTGCACCAGCTGCGCGTGCTCCGTGACCAGCTGCCGCAGGTCCGCCATCTTCTGCAGGAGCTTGGGGAAGAGGAAGGCGGCGTCGGGGTGGTTGCCCTGCAGGTGCAGCCGGAGCACGTGCACGATGCCCTCCTGCATCTTCTCGATCTGTCCCACGTGCAGGAGGCCCGGGCGATCTGTCCCCAAAGGAGAGAGAGGGCTGAGTTGATGGTCACCATGGCGACGCCCAAGACACCAGCTCCCTTCCTGCCAGGCCTTTCTCCCCCAAAGCGTCGGGCTTCAGACACTGTAGACCTGACCACAAGAGACCAGAGTGGGCCTGGCCAGTGTGGCCCAGCGGGTAGAGCGTCAGCCTGCGGACCCAAGGGTCCCGGGTTCGATTCCGTTCAAGGGCACGCACCTCGGTTTCGAGCTCCTCCCCGGCCCGGGCCCTGGTCAGGGCTCCTGCAGGAGGCAACCAATCGATGTGTTTCCCTCGCAGCCATGTTTCGCTCTGTCTTTCCCTCTCTCTCCCACTCTCCCTAAAACCGATGGAAACATATCCTCGGGTGAGGATTCAAAACAAAACAAAACAAAACAACAACCAGAGGTTGAATGAAGCACAGGAGGAAACGACGGATAGAGACGACCCAAGGCCTGAGGCCTGCGCGCAGCACGGCTGCCGTCAGAGGCGTTTCTGTCTAAACGTCGAGGGAGTTGACGCTGACAGGACGGAGAGGGGAGCGGGAGGAGCCAGTACAGCCGTTTATGACGTCACGCGCGCTGCCCCTCACCCTGCGCTGCGCCACGGCGGCCGCCCAGCAGGC